CAAAAAGAAAACAAAGCCTTCAGTTCTGTTTTTTGTTTTTCCATCTATCATCTTCTTCCTCTTGTTAAAACCCAGCAATCAATCAGATACAAGAACACCATTAATTTCCTTATTAATAATTGCCTTATGGCTTTTGCTTATTCAGCTAACTTTCCCGCTGCTCTCCAGCTCTCTCTCTGATTCACTGGATGGGAATAGAGTCCGGTGTTAAACCACTCTGGCTCTCCTCCCAGGCTCTTGCCAACCAGTCAAAAATCACGAAACATCCAGTACAAATGATGAAAAGGAGTTCCTCACCCACTCAAACGATATAAAAAAACAGTTTCTCAAATTTTCCCATCCACGTATGGAAAATGAAATCTGGGACTGTCGCATTATTCTCCTCGATTCACAGCAGGTATGTGCGTGCTCTTTTGCGTGTACATGTAATGTGCAGTAATAGAAAAACAATGCTGCCACAGCCTGGCTGCCTGCACAGATTTGACCTCGAACCCAGAGGAGTCTGACATGACAAAAGGTCAGACTTTCATTTTCACTTCCAGTAACAGGAGGAAGAATGTAAAGGAAAGAGAATAACCGAGATGTGTGGTTAAACAGACTGCCTTAAATATATTAGGTTTCCCTCTCATATCAGCGTGGTATGTGATTCTTAATTCTGCAGAGCAGCTGTTAAACGAAGATTGTATTGCGTACACCATTACCAAATTACTGAAAAGGCTACACCCTGGATAGGACACCAGTCCATCACAGGGCACACACACAGAGAGAACCACTCTCATTCAGCACACACACACACAACAGGGCCAGCTGTTACTGCAGCCAGTTATCCTGCCAGCATGACTCTGAAACCCAGGCAAACACGGGAAGAACATGCACGTGCTTACCCCATGCCAACAGCACCCCAAGAAAATATGGCGAAACAGCGGATCTCAGTTATGATTTCTGTAGAAACGGTTCACGCAGTTACACGAGTAATTGTGTGTAACCTGTAGCTGCAAGTAACCTGTGAGGAATTTGCACAGAGGAAGACTGCAACACCACATAAGCTTCCCTGCTACCGGTTTTCCTAATGCTCACCACCCGAAGAGTCTGTTTTTCTTGTTAACATTAGCAGCCAACATTAATCACAACAGGAATATGAAGAGTGGATTGTGAAAGGATGCCATTCAGGCTTTGTCAATCCAACCTCCAATGGTGTTAAACGACATGTCAGGGAACTACTTCGAGCTCAGCGGTAATGAAAGGAGGCCCTGGGGCCACAATGAGAAACAGAGGACAGGTGAATTTCAGGCATGTCTTTACACGGAGAGTCCTGGGGGCTGGGAACAAACTGCCCAGGCAGGTTGTCAGAGAGAATTCTCTGCCAAATGTCTCAGATTCATAGACGAGCAGGAATGAGCGACGGCTTCATTAGCTCATTCAGCCTCTAAGGATCAAACTGACTTTGCTGTCATTTTGCTTTGTTAGGAGAAATGTTAATTCCTTTTTTTTTTTCCTGTGTCCCATCTGTCTCTTTCCAAAACAAGGCACAGGAAAAGGGAGTAATGCAGAGCAGGAAACAGCAGGAAACTTAACATTAGCTATAGCTATTGACCCTGTACAGAGCTGCTGTTTCCAGTCTCCTTCATCCTTACGAGCAAAGCCTGCTCAGCACAATACACATGACAGAGGGAGCCACACACAGAAACGAGATAAAGCCTGCAAAATCATAAGAAAGTGTTAATCAGATTCGTACTTACACATGTTTGGAGACAATTATATTTTTTCATGCAAGGAGTTAAAAAAAATAGACAAAAAGTTGTTTTCGCTGTGGAGCCTCCCTGTCTATCACACTCCTGTTGGGGCTCCATAGCCGAAATAATGTTTGTTCTGCTTTTTTCATCTTTCTTTTGAATTCTCAACCTGGCGTTAACCTCTGCTGGTTCCACAGCACAACCTTCCTACTCCTAATGTCCTTACTCTTGGGGATTTAAAAAAAAAAAAATGCTTTCCCACTGTAGCATCCTGTCACTCCTCTCACACCCCAAATGAAATAAGCAAGGAAACCCCATCGTAGAAATTATTTTCAATTATGTCTCAATTGGCTTTCTAAGAAAGCTGGTCACTCTCCTTCTTGGTGCAATATTGTCTGTAGAATAGTGTGCACTGCTTTAATAAGAGGATCCCACATCAGGCTTATCTAGCAGCTGCCAATTTTTTACCTCGACTCTGTTATTAATCTCCCTCTGTCTGCCTCGGAGCACTGTGGCTGGCGAGCTATAGAGACTGCTGCCCTTTGTCAGCTGTTCATATTCTCAGACCTAATTAGCCTCCACGAGGAGCCATGCATTTTGTTATCACCATTCGCACCACAAAATGAACAGGGTAGTAACAATCTGCTTCCCATTTCAGTGGACACCCAGAAAAGAACATGGATAAGTTCTTTTAAAATGCTGGATTCACTTAAAGAAACAGGTCCCCCAAACAAATTTGCAAGCTGGGTTTTATAACAGCTCAGCACTTTTGTGTCGCAGAATGTGGCCCTGTTTCCTTGCAATGGATTTCCTCAGAGGTGTCTAAAAATCCCAGCCTTGTTTGCTCATCTTCACTGTGAACCTGGCTCCATTTTTAACCCGTCAACCCTTTGGCCCATCAAACCTTCATGCCAGAACTGTATCAAGAAGGGCTCCCTGACCTAGAGGGACCACTGTAGCCCAAAGTGTGATTTTAGTCTGCTTCAAAGTGTAACTGAGCCCCTTTGCGTTTTTGTTCTCTGCTCAGAAAAATACACTTATTGATTATCCTCTCTTGAAAATGTCAGCCAGAAGCTGCAACCACAAGGCAGAGAGAGCTCCTATGCGATCTCATCCCTCATCTTAATTCATCCAGACCAGTTCTGTATTTGCAGGTGGCAATCTCTCAGCTTTCTGCAGCAAACTGGCAAGACAAGGAGCCCCATGCATCAAATCATTTGGACACCATTTTAAAGTTCTCCAGCCTTTCCTTTTGTGACACTGCAGCTGGTGTCAGAGCACAGCGATGACCACATCTTAATTACAATCGGATGTGGTCATCTCCTCAGACTCCTCGAGCCTGTTTAACATGTTGTTGTGCAGGCCTTTCACTGGACTCTTTCATTTGGTTTAAAGTCATCTTACAAAGAATTTCAAATTCAGAGTTTTAAAAAACGAGCTGGAGAAGTGTGGATTTGCTAAGGTCATGTCTGAGGACATGTGAGTTGAAAGTAGCGGAGCTAGACAGATCTCCCCAAGGGCTCATCTGTGACAAGCCTTGGAATGTCACACACACCAAGCTGTGCTGCAGCCTCATACTGTGAGGAGATCAGTCAGGATTTTACAGTTTTGATATTCATTTGTCCCAGGTTGGTCTTGATATCCGAGGCTCATTAGTCTTGTGTAAAATTAAATAATATCGATTGAATATAATGCTCATATACAGTACATGCAATGCTTAAAACTTCAGATTACAAGTCATTTGCTCTAACTGTCCGGATTCTGTGATTATTTAACCATAGTAGTTTTACAGAAAAAGAAAAAAAATCAATTTTCAGAACACCATGGACATGGAAACATACCAAAAAGCAGTTTTTTAAAATATGATTCCAGTTTGGAAATGTGGTCAGTGTAATTAATTAACAAATCCATTTTTTATTGAAAATGTTCATTCACATCAATCCCCTGTAATTCTGGTCATGGTAAAGCTGTGCAAATCTACATTAGTGGCAGTCTACAAAAATTAAATACACAGCTGCACACATTACAGTGGGACCCACAACTACATCCACTGACCATTCTTCTTAAGAACAGGAAATCCCTACTTCATGATATGTATACATTTCACATCATGTAAGCATAACATACTGTATGCTGTAGTATGCAACCTATGATAATCACAAACACTTGGTATTTCTGCTGAAGGAGTAAATGTTGTCTCACCAAAAAGTCATTAATTGTGCCCTATTTTTGGGCCAAATATGAGCTCTTTGTCCCCTCTCTTAGAATCTTTTGTCTCTAAACTCCTCACTTCACTTTCTCTCTGTTCTGCTGCAATGTAGCATTTTGAGAAGTTGTTTCTGAGCTCAGACGGAAATATCTGACTTCACTGTACCAGCTGTTAAATTTCTGAGGTGGTGGAGATTGCTTACACAACTGAACAGTAAAGTCACTGAGGCAGCACCTGTAGGGTAATATTTGACTTGGTCCTGATGGATTGCTGTGTATGTGCGAACAACAGAGACAGTGCTGTGGGTTACTTAGTTCTCAATTAACAGGAATAAGTAAGGAAGAATACCTACTAACAATTACAGCCAAACGTTTCTCTATAATTTCCCACTGTCACAATAAATTGGGCCAAGAGCTTCTGCATTTATGTGACACCATCACCCAGATCTGAATGAGCCCACTGAGCCCAGTTTAGGATGTCATCACACAGACATTTGCACATCGGGGTAAACAACCTATAACCATGGTGACACTCAGTCCGACATGCCAGAGACAGGTTCTGTTTCTTAAAAAGGTCCTTTCTCAGGAAGTTTGTGATACCCTGCACAAGTCGGAGTTTCTTTTCAGGCAATGAGTTTCCTATAATTGGCATTTAGGTTCTGCTGTGCAAAGAAGGTTTTTCATAAAATGTATTGTTCGAAACAAAGAAGCTGTATCACTATCAAAATAAAGACTTTTCGATTCTTTCACATGAGATATCATCTTTTTGGAGAAACCATTGACACTGTTTCTATTACATCCCACTCTGCTGATTAGCCACATGCCCTTCTGATTGACAGCTGACTGGAAGTGAAACAGGGCCGAAGGTTTTGCCAGCAAAACCAAGATTATCTAAAGGTGTTGGCAGAAGCTTGAAGCTACTATCTAAAGCAGAGTTGGAAGTTGCCCTCCCTTCCTTCCTTCCTTCCTTCCGAGGCCGTGTTCACAACCCTGGTGAGCTCAGGCTCAGCTCACACGGGTCTTGACACGCCCGTGACTGGCCGCCCCGGGCCGCCTTACCTGGACAGAGCGATCTCGGCCTTCTGCTTGGCGATGTCGCAGGCTCTCTCGGCCGCCTCCACGGCCCGGTCCACCTTCTCCCGGATCTTGCTGGCCCGCAGGGGGATGAGGTTCTTGCGCTTGCCGCTGACCAGGACGTTCTGCTTGTACTTCCCCTCCTCCTTGGTGCCGTCCGGGAAGGTGGTGCAGCCGTAGCCGTGCCGCTTGTTCCCGACCCACTCGCCCTCGTAGTGCAGCCCGTCGGAGCGCCGGCTCACACCGAAGCCGGCCCGCTTGTCGTTCTTCCACTCGCCCACGTAGGTCTCGGTGGTGGTGGCGTCCACGTCGTCCTCAATCACCGACAGGTCGGCCTCGCCCTCGCCCAGGCTGATGGTGGAGTTGATGTCGCTGGCGGCGGAGCTGACCGTGCTCATGCCCGCCTCGCTGCGGAAGGAGCTCTGCTTGCTGCGCTGGCTGGCCAGGGAGCTCTTGGACTCCGACTTCCGCAGCTTCAGGCCGCTGAGCAACGAGCGGCGGAACAGGCCCTTCTTCTTGCCCTTGAGCAGCTCGGCGTCGCTGTGCATGCTGAGGACGAAGCCGCCCCGGGACACCGCGGGGCTGCCGGCCGCCGAGGCCCCGGCGCCGTCAGGGTGCAGCGCCGTGCCGTTGCTGTGCTCGCTGCGCAAGGAGTTTATGGAGGTGCGCAGCGGCGAGCGGATGACCGCCGCCATCCCGTAGGGGACGCTCTGCCGCACGCCGTAGCCGTGGCGCATACCGCCCACCCACTGGCCCTGGTAGGTTCCTGGGGACGAGAAGAAGACAGGTCAACAGGCGAACACGCAGCCCAGAGGTAGAGCACAAGCCCGGACTGCCTTTTCTAACACTCCTGTCAGCTTGTGCCAATAGCCTGAACCCCATCACTGACGTGCTTGTATCATTTGGAAGAGATCTTCACTCCCTGGTGGAAAGGGATTGTCTATTCAAGCCTGAGTAAGCCAAGAGGACTGATACTCTTACAATGCATTCCTGATTGGGCTCTACTAACAGCCCAGGGAACGTAGCTTGCAAGACCCTCACAATATTCATGTACGAAAGTGTCTCCTGTTTTCTGGACTGAGCACAATCGGGAATATGTGAATACCACAATCGCCACCCAGTCACAGGAGGAGAAAAGCTGAAGGTACTTGCCACCTCCTTCCATTCTGGTGCACTCCCAAAGTCATGAAAGGGACTGACAAATTCAGCACATTGGTCTCCTTTATGCTCACCCACAGAACAAAGACCAGAGGATCATCTAGGACTGTAAGGTCCTTCTTTTCCTTTTGGCCAACATTGATGGGCAGATTGCGCATCAAGCTGATGTTCTGTTGAGTGGACACTTTGTACATAGCAAATGTAAGGATGAAGGTGCCACTGGAGTTCGGACAGCCTGGTCAGTGTGACACATGCACTGCCCACAGCCTAGATTTGATCGCTGTCCCTCAGCCAAACTCCCAGCTTAGAACATGTCATTTCTCCCCCATTCTCCTGCTCTGAGAGGCAGCTCCTGTTGGGTGGCTGTCCCATAGGTGCTTACTGCAGCTTAATAAGCAAATCAGCAATGTTATTCCTGCCTGCTTGGAGATAACTCCCTCGAATCCTTCCAAAACTGTCCAAACGTTTATATGGAAATCTCAGACTTTCTCTAGTAGCTATTTAAGCTTTTCAGTTGGTGGCAATGTCATCATTCTGAAATGGTGGGTCCCTTCCTTTTGCTCAAAGCCACTGCCAGGCGCAGTATACATACACCAGTCTTCTCAAGTAGCTTCAGACAGTACAGCATGTCTGGGGCATACCCAATGCCTTGCACTCTTCCACTGCTTTAGGAGGAATGAACTAGCAATCAAATGAGCAAGACAGACTGAATGGCCTCCTCTCGTTTGTAACCTTTCATGCGTTCTTATTTGCTCTTCATAAGCTTTCAATTATTGATGCACAGAAACCCTGCTGGTATGAACAAAGTAATTGCGCCTGATTCTAAAAGATGATGCTAAAGCTTTGAAGAGACAATTATTACATTTTAACAGACAGGTGCTATACAATGGGGAAAATCTCCAGATGAAGTTATGTAGCAGAAATAACTCTCTTCACCCCCATTAGGCATAACTAAGATAATACAGATGTGTTAATGACAGCTGCTTACAGATGTAAAGTCAGGTGCAAGAGGAGTAAAACACACCAAAAATGTAGAAACGTAATCTCATTCATTCAGTATTTAGCGTTTCAACAGTTGTTTCAACATTGTGAAAAATCATGGTCACTTTTACCACTTTTATATTCTGTATGTACCAATACAGAACCACTCATCTGTTATACTGTACATGTTGTCTGTCGTATAAAATTCCCTACCAATCCTCTTCTCCTCCATGGAAGCCATTTCTAGCCACATGCGAATGTTAATATGTGATGTTTTGTGCCGTTTTCCATTCACTGTTTTGAAATAACTGCAGGAGGGGAAGAGCAAAGTCATCAATAAGCAAATCTTTTGCCTTTCAGATTTTTCAGCCAGGAAGATTTGATTTTATATACAGGCCACATTGAAACTATACAGAACCGGTGTGCTCTAAAAAGCCAACAAGCTCTTCAATTGAAATAGAGAGTTTTGGAGAGTTTAGAATCCGACTCCATAATCCCAGTTGGCTAATTCTAAAATTCCAAATTAATGGTCCCCTAGAGAGCTTTTCAATTAAATATCTAGTTCAAATTCCATGTTTACAACACCGTTGCTTGTAATATTTAAACGCAAAGCAGAGAAACATGGAGCAAGGTAATGCTTTGCATTCCAAATACTGTGAACTCTAAAGAGTACCTCAGCTTCAACTGAGAAGTCTCCCTCTTCAGTGCTCAGCTGCACACAGGGGGCTATAAACTAGTTCTCAACAACCAGCAGCGGTGGGTCTCAGTAAGGCAACTTCACCTGTAGATTCCTTGTTATGTTCTCTTTTTAAAAGACCCTCAGTCATTTAATTAACTAAATTATGGTCAATTAAGATGTCTGTGGGATAGGTCTGGAAGAAAAAGGTGAATCATTGAGACACAACCATACTAATTGAGCACACAGAAAACAGACACAGGCAGACAGCTCCTCATGTTTGATTGGCGTAAAGTTTGACTACATCTAAGGGAAAGTCTAGAGAGAAGTTCACTGATGAAGACCTGTAGATCAAGATGTTAATGTCACAATTATATATGTGAAGGGAAAATTATTTCTTGGTATGCTCAAGTAAGGGGCAATGAATTGAAACACATGTCTGGGTTTTCAATGATAATTTGTTAACAGGAATGTAAACATGTTATGTTGCATTAAACAATGTATCTACTGTGGGATCAATTTAAAGGAGGCAACAAGGTAAATTCCCAGGCTGTAAAGGAATGGGTTACATAGCATGGTAAATGGAAATCTTCAATCTTGAATAGAGGAGAGAACAAGTATTTAAAGTGTCAATGGGTCTCAAAAAGCCAAATTGTCACGTCCGGCATTACATTCCCAAACCCACTGTTTCACGCTCTCATTGCTAACTGAACCGATCACATTCTCACAAGTACCAGATTCCACAGATTCTCACTCCTGAACCAATTATCCAACCACGTTCCTCTCCCTCCACTATTTAAAGCTCCCTCACACACCAGCCCTTGCTTACTACTGAAAAGCTTCCTTTAGTGCTTTTTGGTGTGTGTTATTTTCTTGTTGGATTTCTTGGTTTTTGGACTTAACTTTTCCCTCTTGATCTTGTCTCTTGGATTTTGCTTTTTGGATTTTCTTCTTGGTTTGTCTAGGCTCTTTCTGGTTAACTGATCTCTAGCTTTGCCTATTGACTGGGTAGGAGTACTTCAGGACTCATAGTGACCAAAGACCAGGGGATGCAAATGAACCCTGAGACAGAATGAGTTTAGGCCTGGAAACAGAAAGCACTTCTTTATGCAAGAAGTGGATTCAATTGCATCCCTTGAGAAATGTCTGGATGAAATCCTGGGATCAATAAGCTGTGCACAACCAAATGAGCAGGACAGGCCTATTAGCCTCTTCTTATTTGTAACTTCACTAATGCTTGTCAGACCTTTGTCTTGATATAAAATCTTTTTTTTTAATACAGTTTCACCTTATGAAAACAAGTTGCCTTGGCACTTTAATACAACAATAGCAAAACTCCGGACACAAACATATCCAGTGTTTCCAGGTCTGGTGTGTTGCAGGGCCTGATGTAGATGGTCATGCAACTATCAGAGAAACATGGAAAGACGTGACAATTCCATGTTTTTATGTGAATGCTATTGAAATCTTGGGAGGATCAATGTGTGTGCACATCTACACTGTCCATCCACACGGCAAGAGATTCAGCTACATCTACAGATGAGCTGTGGGCGTTGCGTCAGCAACATCAATAGGAGAGGTTGGAGGAGCCTATCTCTAGTCGGGTCAGAAGTGTGTTTGCTGCATGATGGAGTTCTGCCTTGCCCACCTCTTCATCTTTTGACTCATTGCAAGCTTCCTAATTCCCACCCTTGCCTGATGGCCCTTTGCCAGCTGTGGACTTCTGCTGGGGCAACTGTGATCACATCAGCCTCCAGGCAACATGACCAGGGCTCAGTACTTGCAGTTCCATGCTTTCTGATATAAAGGACCCTGGCACAGATGTGGAAATGTGATTCAGTGTGGAAACAGGATTTGTGGAGTTCTTGAACAAGCTCTCTAGTTATCTTACTAAGACCCACTCAATTGGGCCATGCGAGAAATGATTTGATGGGATTCTTGGATTTTTCTTTTTACTGTAAGCAGCCCAATGAGCAATACTAGGCAAATGTAGAAGAAGAAGGGCCTATATACATAATAACACTCCATTCATTGGCATGTTAGCTGTGCAATTTTTCTAAGCAACTTTAACAGAATGTTTCAAATCTATTAGTTAAAATTACACAAGCAACTACCAGCTCCTAGTGAGCCTTTACTAAATTTAGATTTAGTATTGACTCATTCTTATGCATGCAGAATATTTCTAAACTAGTGACAGGGAAGTAGATCAAAATGACACACTCAGAGATATTGTGATTTTTCCATTGAGAAAAACTACAATTGTTCAGGAAGTTAACATACCTATTAAAACAACATGTAAGAGTTGTGGGAATGAACTGCTACACAAACAGCAATAGCCATGCCTGAACAGTGTCATGTGACTTTGTGCCAGGCTTTTCTTCTAATCAAGCCAAAATGTACACAAAAAGCTGTCTAATTGAGCATGTACAATACACACACAATATGAGAAACGTAATGAAAGTTACACAAGTAGTCTTTCCTCTTAGATACAAGTGAAGTTTATTGTACTTTCTGCTACTTTACTTCTGCTGGAGAGAAAATTGATCCCTCTGATCCTGTGATTAAACATTGAAAAACAGTGTATAGAAAAGGGAGGATGTAAGACTACGAAACTACTGTTGAACATCACATTGATCCACTTCAGGTTTTGCAAGATGATACTTAAAGGTTTCTGTAGGCGATGTAGAGAAGATGTAAGCAGTTGTAAAAACTATTCTTATTAAGCAGAAGCGCACATTATCTAAGCACTACATTACCAGATCTTGATGAGCTGTCATATTATTCCTTATATATCTTAATGACATCTTAGCTATACTTTGCATCCATCAGCTAAATAAATTCTTAAACACAATTGAAGAAGATATGCATATTGTAAAAGGGCAGTTTTTTAGGCAGAGAGTTAATTGTCTCCATACGGCTGTCAGAGCACACAGTGCTTTTTCTGGTATATT